TATTGTTTGTCTCTGATGAATTTACAATGCAAGTTCTTCAGTGATCACTGAACATACTCAGTGATGATCGCTGGAACTGAAAATACAAAGACACAAATACAACATGAAAGGAAAAAATGGATTATCATCAAATTACTGAGAGAGAGGATCAACAACATGACCCGCATGACTTAAAATGCTCTCTGTGTGAAACTTGCATAGACTCTCATGATCATTTATTTTTTGAATGTGGGTTTTCCATGGAAGTTTGGAGTACAATTAAGAGGGAAACGGGTATGAACGGAGTTGCTGATTCTTGGAATACCATTTTAAATAGTATCTCAAATGGTAGTGGAGCACAATGGAATCTAATGCAAATACTTAGTTTGGCAGCGACTATCTACTACATAAGGCAAGAAAGGAATCAGAGGTTGTATGCTAATCAAATGAGGAATATTGGGCAGATTGTGAAAGATATCAAAGGGGATGTTCTTATGTGATTGGCATGGAAGAATAGGAAAGTGGTGCCATATATGATAGATAAAGATGGAATTCGGCAATGATCTGATTGGAAGTTCAGGTCATGGATTTGGAGATTCGTTCAGGGACAGTTGTGGAGCATATTCCTTGCTATGTTGTACTACTCTACTTCTTTGTGTTTATTTTGGTTGATAATTGTGTGGTATGGGGTTGTCACCAAGTTTTTTTTTTTTTTTTTGTGCTCGTTGGTGTTTGGTCGAGAACTTTTGCAACCTTTTTTGCCGTTCTTTAAGACGCAACACTGCGTCTTACACTCGACGTGTTCTCGGCCACATTCCACCTTTACGGGGGATTTTTTTTGGTTGAGCGAAATGGTCAACAAATACAACAACAAAATGTAATTTTATAAATTTCTTGCATAAATATGTTTGATGACATAGTGGACAGAGGAATAATAACCGAATTTTAAGTTTTATCAAAAAAATTAAAAATAAAAACTCATATGAAGTATAAATTGTTAAATGCAATTAATTTTTTTTAAGGATAAACATGTATTATCATTAACGAGACAAAAAACAAATTTAAGATTAATGTGTAAATAAGAAGAAAAATAGTAAAAAAACTGAAATAAAAGTAAGATTGACACAATTATGAATGAAAAATAGTTGTAGTTAATTAGTAAGAGTTTGCTATTTTATAGTTGAGGTATCGGGTTCAATTCTTTTGTTGCATATTTGTTTGTCTTTTTTTTATAAATATAAAAACTAGAAATTATTGTGAAAAAGATTTGAACCCATAACCTTGAGGAAGACAAGTATACCCCAACCATTCCAACAACTTCACTCTCCAATTTCAAGTTGAGTTAAAAACATATAAGAACACACTTCAAAATTAAGCAGATGTACAGTTAGGACCGGTAAAAAATTTCCATTACGACGGGATGATCGAGCGAATCCCCGTGCACCCCGTACTCTATGAGTATGTCCGTCCCTAATTGACCGAATAAGCTATAAGTCCCATTAAGCTGCTAACAAATAGACCCTAAATCCCGTAAATACTAAATTAAACTATAAAATAGTGAATAATATTTGAATATTTATTATTAAAATGCAACATACTTAATTCAGATCCCTATCTATACTATATTATAAAACATTTGACAAAAACTCTTAAAAATCATTTGTATGCATGAAATACTGTTTATTAATGCATATTACTTAAAATTCAGTATTACAAATAAATTGTGCGTAAATACAATTTATTAAGATTCATGTTTGAATTCGTGTAACTAACTGCAGATAAACATAATCAAATACAAGACAAACATTTCATTTTAAATATAAAAAGTCTAAAATATAATTAGTATAATCGTAATCGTTTTCTAACAGAATACTTAATTATTATCTTTATAAAGAATTATATTATTAAATACAAAATAAATTACTTCGTTATTAAATCTAAATTAAATTATAATAAAAATAATTAATTTGATACTATTTCGAAATTTTATAATATATATTCAAATTTATATATTTTTTTTAAAATAAAAATATTATCTCTTTTTCAAAATCACATAAAAACATCTATAAAGACGGAATAAAACGAAAAATTAAAATCGAGATATATCTTGTTGTATTGTTCGAGTACCTTTCTAGTTTTATGTAATGTATGTTTATAACCTTCATTAAAGCATTTTAACAGACCAAAATAAGTTATACAAAATATGAATCGTAATAAAATATATTTCATTTTTATATATTATCGGGTATAAATCAAATATCTGAATATTTAAAATGCCACAATTGAACTTTTAATATGATATTTATTGTAAGAAGTTTTGAGACCATACGATTACTTAACCATCTAAATAACGTAACGCCAACTATATACGCGTTCGAATCAAACGTTAACCCTTCCAAGACGAAAACCAAAAACCCTTCAAATCTTTCCATCCAAATCGATCAAATCGAACAAATTCATACAAAATTCAACCAAATTTGTCGGTTTTTTAAAATTGATTGATACATATAAACAGCAATGGATCCAAATCAATCATCGAATCAATTGTTGAAGCCGAAGGATTCTCACTCCACCGACTACGCTCCATACCCTAAGATTGACCCAAACGACGTGGCTCCTGCTCCTGCTCCTTCTCCTGCTCCTGCTCCGACTGCTGCTATTGGTGATGACTGGACTTCTGTTCCTGTTGGCTCTCAACAACAAGCTACGCCGCCGCCGCCTGTTGCCGGACAGCCGATGTATACAGCTGGTTCAAGGTCATCGGATGCGCCGCCGCAAGGTTTACCTGGTGGTGGAGCAACCACTATGCCCAATGAATCTAATCCTTACGTGTCTCCTGCTCCCGTGCCGGTTTCTTCTGCGAAGAGTGAGTGCATTTGAGCTTATTTTTACTAGTTATGTGTTTTGTTGTTGATTAGTGTTGGGGATCATGTAGCATAAGATCGTTTCAAGTGGTTTGAACGTGGAAGCTTGCATTGATTGTGATGCCCTTAGGTTATAAACGATCTGTTTGATTAGGTGTTTGTTGATTGCTTCAAACGTATTTTGATTTTTGGGTGTTGGTCTGTGCTGTATTTTTTTATCAGAGACGATGGATTCGGTGAAGGATGTGCTTGGGAAATGGGGAAAGGCGGCTGCTGAGGCAACAAAGAAGGGGCAGGACTATGCTGGAGATGTGTGGCAACACTGTAAGTTTAGTATATGTTTTTTGATCAATTTTCGTTGTATCATTTCACTTTCCCTGCATCTATGAAGCATTATATGTTCAGGTTGAATATATCTTTATTGTTCCGTGGATAATTAAGATCATATGCACATGACCATGGGGATGTTTGATAAAAAATGTAAAACACTAGTCACTAGTGCCTCCCTGAAGTATATGTTCCCTTACTGTTTGAAAAGGCATGCAACATAAAGCTTACCCTGGAGATGAACAGTATGTCTTCAAATTAGAATCGATAGTTTGGATCCATTAGTTGAAGTTAGGCGTGTAGGTGAAAACTTCATTATAAGCCTAAAAATTTAGGATGCTTCTTCCGAAACTCTCGAAAATTAAAATGTATATCAGTATATGATGAACTCAATGATAAAGTTTTTGCATATGAATAGTATGAGCCAGAAGCTAAGATATTGTTTGGAAACACTTGTTTTGTTTACAATTTTTGTAATGCAATAGAGGTTGGTTTATATTTTGTTGTAAAGCCACAATGCATTTGATAAAACTTGTTCTTTGAAAAGGTATAATATTAACTGAAAATGCACCTGTCTGTCCAATTTTTATTTTTAATTGTTTTAGATTTCTAAATGCTAATTGACTATCATCATCTTCATCATTGTTCGGCCATCACATCATTATTACCACTATTGCTATCCAATTTTATCCAGCATAGCCAACGAAGATATCATTTTAACAGCTCAGCTGCTGCGGCCAGAAGATAAACAATATCATAAAAAAAATCTAGAAAGTTTGCAATCTTTTTATTTTAGTTATTGTTGTTTTCAATTTTATTTAAGGCTTATTGGATGAATACATAAGGCAGAAAAAACAAAATTTAGATTATAATTGTCATCGTGAAATTTGTTGTAATTGGGAGGAAAGGGAGGGTGACCAAGACTAAAGACAGGAGATGGCTATGTAATAGAGGGAGAAGGGACACGAAGGAGCATTAGGTTGAAACAAATGAATAGAGAAAAGAAGATAAAGATATGGCTTTGGTTTTATTGGGCTCTGATCCTCAACCACTACTAAAATCAAGTGTTCAAATGCATGTTTTTGTGAATGTGTTTTCTAAACCATTACTTAGAGTGTTAAAATGAAGTTTAAAAATTTGTAACACCAATGCTTATGATATCATGTAAATAGAATTTGATTTCTAGAAACATAATTGGTTGCCAAATGTTGTTTTTCTATTTGGTTTCTATTTGGGTGATAGAGTAATGTTAAAGGTATCACCTTGGAAAGGAATGGTACGTTTTGGAAAAAGGGGGAAGTTAAGTCCAAGGTATGTTGGACCATTTCTTATTATTGCAAAGGTTGGGGAAGTGGCCTACAAATTGGAACTTCCTTAGGAGTTAAGTGGAATTCATGACACTTTTCATGTGTCTAATTTGAGGAAGTGTCTAATAAGCCCAGATGCAGCAGTGCCACTACCTGAAATTAAGGTTGATGAGAGATTGTGCTTTGAAGAAACCTCTGAACTTATTACTGACTTCACAGTAAAGAAGTTGCGGAATAAAGAGGTTGGGTTAGTAAAGGTTCAGTGGCGATATCACAAAGGACCAGATGCCACTTGGGAATCAGAATCGGAAATGCGAATGAAATATCCTTACCTTTTTGTATAATGGAATTCCGGGACGGAATTCTTCTAAGGAGGGTATATTGTAATATGCGGTTTAAGTATATTTTTTTTAAAGTTTTAAATTTGTTTTGTATAAATTGTGGTTGTATAGATGAGAGTGTGGGTGTGTGTGTATTTAGTGATGTTTAAAGATTTGATGGGGGAAAGGGGAGTCGGCGGTATGCACCGCCCCCATAGTTTTCCATTTTACTATAAGTAGTAAATGGAGTTTTAGAAAGAGTTTTTACACACACTTTCTAAAAAGGGAAGTCTCTTCGAAGTTACCATCCAGACTTGGCAAAAGATGAAAGGGAAATTCAAACTAGGATTTCGGTTCTTAAGGTGAGTGTATTATGCTTTTGAGTATTAATTACTTGTATGAAATTCATTACTTGAATTAGTGCAAGTTGTTAATTGTTAGGTTGTACCTAATTGACTGGTGCATAATCAGATGCTTATTGTGGCTATAGGGGTTTGGAGTTTTGTTTTTTCCAATGCAATATCTTATGCCACATCTTATTCATACGCACTGCCTGAATAATGTTTAATCCAATCTAATTATAGGAACAAAAATGCTGCTGATAGGTTTAGAATTTGATTTACATATGCATTATGGATTTCTACAATGCTTCTAGATCCATGTGTAATGTTGGGTGTGTATATACTCATAATAAAAAGGGGATCAGTTTGTCAATCATCAAAACAGGAGGGTTTTAACGGTTAACTTTGACAAACTGACATTCTAACGTTGCACCAACAAAAAGAATATGACTACATACAATACCCTTCAACATGAATGAATTAGAGGAATCTTGGCTACCCAAATCCATACCATCGGTTTATATATAACAATCATAACGACAAATTAAATAAGATCGACATAGAAACTTCCTGAGAGGAAATGGTGCAATTCTCATTGGACATCCCACGAAGGAAAGCATCTCATGGAATGAGGAAGTACAAAGTACATATTTGTTTCTCATCTATCAATGAATGTGCCTGGGTCTATTCCGTGTACAGCCATCTATCACATTGAGCTAATATCAATTATTTGCCTATACTTACAACGAAAATCACCTTACATACGCATGGGAGAACTGCTGATTGATGTTGTTTATTTTGACAATTATCCGAGTTATCTAGTCTCTCGTTCATGCTTTATGTAAATATGATAACTTGTTTAATGAAAAGAACATGCATAACTGCAAACCCCACACATAATACAATATTCTTCTGTTGTTTTGAGTAGCTAAATTAACCTTTAACTTGAATCAGTGAAAACTGGACCCAGTTTAGCTGATGCTGCTGTTGGGAGAATTGCTCAGGGAACTAAAGTTCTTGCAGAAGGTGGGTATGAAAAGATCTTTAAAACAACATTTGAGACGGTTCCTGATGAGAAACTCCTGAAGTCGTATGCCTGCTACCTTTCAACTTCTGCTGGTCCTGTTATGGGAATCCTGTACATGTCAACCGCAAAACTGGCATTTTCTAGTGACAATCCACTTTCATACAAAGTTGGTGAAGAGATACAATGGAGTTTATATAAGGTGATCCCTTTTCCTTTATTGTTTTTTCCCTGCCATGCTTTATTCTATCCTTGATGTCAAATTTGTTTCTGCCACTTTTTAAGACTTAAATTGACACAGTAGGAAAATGAAGAAGAATCGACAAACGTCTAAACCCTAAAGGATATGAGTTTACAAGTGTAAAAGTTAAAAGAAATATAAGAGAACTCTCAAAGAGATTTTATTGATCAGTTGTGAACTTTTAATAACAGATTTCCTAAATAACAGATTTTCTAAAGCTGATAAAGGTCCATTTATAGGCTAAAGAATAAGAAACCTAATCCTAACCCAACTAGGAAAGGATAACTAAGAAAGAAATAAAATATTTGAATTAAACACATAATAAACCTAAGTTAATTAGGAAAGTTAATAATTAAATAAAGATTAAAGGAAATTAAATAAATGATAATGCTGAAATCTCCATCCAGAGAAGTACATGTGAGTAAGTGCGCAACCTAAGTCGCATGTTTGGTCACGGAAAGGTCTGTTGTCCAGATGCTTGATGCAAGATTTTTCAAAGACAAATTGGGCTTATTCCTAATCCTTTTCTTTTTCTCCCATTGATCCAAGGCGAGGCCCATTAACTCCTAGATCCGTGCTACATCATAAATTGATAATTAGCCATAATGATTTGTTACTCTGATTGGTTGATGTAGAAGATTGACTCCATATGTGGTTTAAAAAAAGCATTTGACAATTAGTTTGATGTCTAAAATACCCTTCAACCAAAATGAAAACCACCAATTGAAATCTTAAAATGGACAGTTAGGTAATTTAGCTTTGAGGATATGCTAAAAAAGAGCTGTTGTTAGTAATAAGAAATTTCCAGATGGAAAATGGTTATAGTTTCGTGAGATGGTGCATGGACAATCTATAGCTTATGGCAAATGTTGGAAAAGTAGCACTCCTTACGTTCTAAATAAACGCATTATTTCATCAACCACAGTCTAATGTTAGTTCTGGTCAAGTACCTAGAATACTCATAAATCATGCAAAGTAAAGGAACCCTGTTCGATCAACATCAAGGCTTCAAATACTTTGTATTATTACCAGGAATTGAAACTTAAGGGGCACTTGGTTTGATGGAATGGTTTCAAGGGATTTGGATTTTGTGGAAGGATTTGGATTTGGATTTGGAAGGATTTGGGACCTTTGGCGTCTTTGGTTAGTAGGATTTGGAATAGAAATGAATTCCATTTTTTATAAATAATTTATAAAACAAATTATAAATAATATAAAATAATTAAATTACCTTTTTATCAATCAATTATTACAAAACAAATAATCAAAATGGGACCTTAAATTATTATTCCTTGTGTTCCTAAAATGTAGTGGGAATTGGATCTGTTTGATTATCAGTCGAGTAGTATCTATAATACCATTATTAACAAAGTAAGGAATTGCATATTTGCTTGTGAAAAATCAGTTACCCCCTTCCATCCCAAATAAGAGTTCACGATAGAAATGACAGAGTTTTAGATGTGCATGATTGTTACACTTTTTAGTTAACCAAATGACAACTTTGCCCTTAATTAATTCTTTTATCTTAACAACTCTTAAATATTTACCCTATAATTAAGAGTAGATTTGGAAAGTTAGTTATCCCTTTTTGAAGCTAGACGCTTATTTTGGTACAAACATATATAGAAATGGGGAAATTTACATAAATAACCAAAGCTGATAAGCGGTTTCACTTTTTTGCCATTTTCTAACCCAAAATCACTTTAGCCAATCCTTACGTAGAAGGCTTATGCATATGCGTTAAGGATTGGTTTTCAGCCAAAAAAAGGAAATATCCTTGCGCATATGCGTAAGGTTTCTTTTTTTATTTTATTTTTTGTCGAAAACCAATCCTTACACATATGCTTAAGCCTTCCGCATAAGGATTTGATTAAAAAGTGAATTTGGGTCGGAAAATGGCTAATAAGTGGAACCCTGTTGGCTAATTGGCTATTTGTGTAAATTTCCCAATAGAAATGTGGATACTTATTTTAGGACGGAGAAAGCATTTAGATACTTTGTAATGATCGAACACTACAACAAAATTGGTTTGTATGACACTATTGTAACGCCCCCCGGGTTCCACATTTGCATATAACCATGTATTTCGTATATCAAGAAATACAAATAATACACATTCGGTCCCAATAGTACAAGACGCTACATTACAAAATTTAAGAACCAAATTTTTCTATAACATTCTTGTACATGACTTGCATCTATAACAAGTATTCTAAAAATCCAACAGATAACATGTTGTTCTTCATAACCATTTAAGAACCAAATTTTTCCATACCATTGTCTTATCCCTTGCAATGCATATTTTTGAAACACAAAATGAGGGTTAGATCTTGAGGTCTAGTGGGAAATTCTTTTTGTACAATTACAGGGTGAAAAATCACCAAACCTGTTTTAAAATCACCTTTGTAAACATACAAATATATTTCAACCTTTTATAAGTCAAAACTCAAATATCATAATTCAATAAGAGTTTATAAATCTTCCTCGCCAGACATGGCATATAACCACTCAGGTCTTCGCATCACTCTGCGAAATTCTCAAAGTCCTCATATCCCACTATGTGGGATTAACCAGAGCTCCTCTGGCTCTTAAGGACCAGAGCTCCTCTGTAAGCCAGAGCAAAGCCAAACAAAACAACGTTATTAAAGACTTTAATCATGAAATCCAGATCATTCTTAAAAAAATGATATGAACATGTAAATATAGCCAACCATACCAACCAAAGCTTCTAGTCTCCAACTTCGAAAATAACTAAGGATGCATGACCAACAAGAGGCTCTCTGGACAACTAGAACCTCTGGTCTGTCTAAAGTAGAACTTATGAAAAATAAGAAGAGATAGAAGATGACAAATGAGATTTTAACATAACCAGAGTCCCTCTGGTCAAATATAAAAGTTAACCAGAGAGGCTCTGGTTTTCTACCATAGTTGTAAAAGATAAAGTTAGAAAGGTTTAACTTAAAGTTTGTATGAGAAGTCAAGAGTTTAGATACAGAGCTCAAATACAAAGCTCGTACTTGTTAAGTTTTATGATACAGAGCCTCTGTATAGCACATACAGAGCCTCTGGGTCAAAATATGAGTTTTGAAAAACTTAAAAGATTTTCCACCATAACCAGAGGCCTTCTGGTTAGTCTTGAAGACCAACCATCTGGGTTCTCATCAAACCTTTACCCTTTTGAACAGTTTTAAATTGTAACATCCAATACGCCAAAAACATTGTTTATTCAAAACACAGACTATTAAAGCCTCTGGCTATAAGCCATTTTCCTCCTCTGCATAACATCATTGTTATCATATCAATAAGAGCAACAAGTCTTCACATCACACAAAAATGATAACTCAGAATCATTGCATCATATAGATGCGATATCAAGAGGTATGATCAAAACTTAGATTTCACAATTGCCACCCTTATCTAAAGGTACATCTCTCCTTGATATGTCATTCTTATTCCCTCATAAAAACATAACCAAAACCGTCATTTTTACCAAAAAATGGCATCGAAACAGTTTCATAACAGAAACTTTATATCAAGAACTTCCACTGTTCTAAACCCAGTTTCAATATCAACTCAAAATGGTTTTTAAGAACAGTTTGCCTTTCTCAACTCAAAACAGTTTCAAAAACCAATTTATCTTACTTCCACATAAACATCAACCAATTCAAGTATTTCCAATACTAAACATATAAATGTTAATAACAACCTCACCTTATATGCACGTATACAGGAATGAATCTCACAGCAACAGATTCCAAATATGATCACATAATCAACTTCTTTGTTCTAACAGCTTCATGCAGACTTTCACACTAGATTACACATAGCAACTTTTCTCTCCTTTCTTTTTCTCTCAAAAGCGAACAAGTAAATAAGATAAAATCTTGTCTTCTTACTTTTATATGCCAAGCATAGGCGGTGAAGTTTTAATATTTTAAACTAATCACTCACATTCATCCCCATGACTAATATATATTATATATATATATTATTTATATATATATATATATATATATATATATATATCATAGGGGTGGAATTATAAACAAATAATCTAAAATCACCCCAATTATATAACCGGAACCCGGTTATCACAACTATATCATGTCCAAGTGTTCCAATAGTTTGCTTAATAGGACTTAAGTTTATAGGACCAAACAATTGTGTCATGTTTAAATGTGTTATAGTAAGTTGAAAAATGTCCAAAAAAGTTTTCTAGGACACTTTTGAAATAAAGTATTCTTTAAGTCTTTTATACGACATTATTTGAAGAAGTTTTACGAAAACAAGTGTCGTATAAAAAGATGTGCTCATATGACATGTCTTAAAAGTGTCATAGAAAAGTTAGTAGGACACTTTATTTCAAAGTGGTAAAAAAAACTTGTTAGGATGCTCAAATAGGGTTGGAACCAGGGGGTGGGGGGTGGGCGGGTAATGCATCCCCCATCCTTGAACCGGATCCCCGTTTAAGCCCCCTGTCCCGATGGGTTCTGGGCAAAGGAATGGGCACCTATTTAGTAAGAAACCCATAAAAACAATGTATTATAAAATTAAAATTATAGTGAATCATCACTACATTAATAACCAGTATTAAAAGTCAAGTATATTTTTCATTTACTAATAAGTTTATATATATAAAAATACATATATACACACACACATATTATATACATATATTAAATAAAATAAAAAAATTTAATCGGGGTCAGATTAGGGGCGGGTGATGTCATTCCGCCTCGCCCTGAACCCGCTTCAGATTTGAAAATAAATCTCCTTCCATCCTGATTACCCGCCAAAGAGGGGAATCTACCTGCCCCCCCCCTTGACCCCGCTTCAGATATGAAAATAAATCTCCTTCCATCCTCATTACCCGCCAAAGTGGGGAATTCCTGCCTCGTTACCCTTCCCTACGGGTAAATTTTCCATCTCTATGCTCAAATACGTCCTAGTATCCAATTGTAACACCTTTATATAGGATATAAAGGACGCATAATTGTTGGTGATATAGAAATTCTATAAACCAGTCTATTAGGACATTTAGACATCTTTGGCATCTACAAAAATTTATTTAGCTGTAGTGAGAGATAGGTAAGCTTTTGGGCTGAAACTTCACCAAAACTATAACTGATACATTTGTTTCCGGACGAATGCATCACCTTCATTTCGTATCGTTAGGTACTTCTATGAGATTGCTAATCCGTATGTTTTCTTCCTATCAAACAACCAACAGGTGGTTATTCCGTTACATCAACTCAAAGCAGTGAATGCTTCAAAAAGCAAAGCCAATCCTGCCGAAAAGTACATCCAGATCATATCCGTTGATAATCACGAGTTCTGGTTCATGGGTTTTGTAAATTACGACAGTGCTGTACAAAGCCTGCAAGGTGCGCTCCAATCCCATTATCAAGTGTAACCTCATATCACCACTCTGAGGTACATGATAATATACGCTCGCCTTTTACTCAATCATCTTGTGTTGCTGTTTTGTAAAAAAAGGAAGTTGGGTTTATATGAAGATTCATTTGCACCGACCACTGGTCGTAAATTACAGTCACTGCACAAAACCAGTCACGACATTGTGTTTATGCTTTTAGAACGGGTTCCATTTTGGTGATGGCTGATTGTGTAGTGACTGCTTGTGTGCCTTTTGTTCTTTCTTTTTATATGTATGTCAAATGTATTTGTGAAACTTTTGGTACATGAGAGTTTTAGTAAAATTTAGGGTTTGTGTGATGTTTGCTTTATGTGTTTTATTGCATACTTGTATGTTCTACATCACATATGGGATAACCGAGAGATGAATCGTTTGAAGTTTTATGTGAAAAATGATCGTTTATCATGTCGAGATTGCTATGTGCTTAGACGGTTGTCATTTTGGGTGTGTTTTTTGCTTCTTGTGTGGTCTTTTATATGGATGAGGCTGAAGGGGTGTTGTCTAGGGGCGTTTACTTGCAGCTTAGTGAGTTTAGTGATTTGGGTGGCATATTCCTTCGGCCATACATGAGTGTTTCGTACGGCTTAATCATCAAGCTATTAAGTCAAATGGCTATATGGAAAAAGCTGGGACCCTCACTTGTCCTTCTTAAGCCACCTCAAACAAATTAATAACATAAATGCCCTTAAAAAAATCAAGCCTCTTTTTTTGCCTTACTCAAACCCATCAGTCTCTCTTCTCTTGAGTAGATAGATTTATCCACATAGACATCAGACAACTTAACCCATAGAGAGATTAAAGGAAAAAAAGGATGTAAACTTAATGTGTTTTGTGGTAATGTAGTCGTAGATAATATAAAGCAAATGGGTCAATGTTTGATCCTTACTTTTTTTCCTCGTGCATTGTTTTGCTCACACTTTTGCATAAACCAAGGTTGGTCTCCACAAAAATAGCCACTATCTTTAGGGGTAGAGGGTGTGAATGGTTCGAGCTTTTAATGAGCTATTCGAGCTCGAGCTAGTTTATCACGAGCTCGAGCTTAATAATTCTCGAGTTTGGGTCGATCTCGAACATAATATAGAACCTGTTTAACTTAACAACCTCTGGACTTTATAACATTAATGTTTTAACTTGTCCCGTTCGAAAACTCAATCCAACTTTTCGAGTCAAGGCGAGCCATTCCAGCATACCCTTTTTTGAGCCAAACATGCTCATATATTTATTAATCTGCAACACCTTAGAATCACATTTGCATATAATCACATATTTCATATATCATAAAATATAAATTTACACATTTGGTCCCATTATATACAAAAGTAGCTACCAATTTTTTTTGCATTATCTCAATACAAGACTTGTATACATAACAAGTATCTAGGTACAAATAATATCATATCATCTCCAAAAATCTACATGCAAGCAATCATAAATTCTTCATAATTTCCCTTTCTGTTGTCTTCTGATTGTATCCGACCTGTAATATACATTTCAAAATACCAAAATGATGGTTAGACCATGAGGTCTAGTGAGGAATTCCTTTGATTGCTATTACATGGTGAAAATCATCAAAACACTTTTATAAAACCCATATTTGTATAAATAACAAATAAACAATGTTTTATTAAACAAATCTCTTTTGTTGCATCATGATGATGAGAGAATACCCATTTATCGCATCAAATAATCAAATAAACCCTCTATTGCATAACACATAAACTTGTCGCATCATATAGATAAAACCATAATTTCCCTCGCATCATAAGAATGAGACAACCTCATTTTCTCGCATCAAATAGGTGCGAGGACCCATATCATCGCATCCAATACAATAAACACACCTTTATTGATGCGACAATATGGATGCGACAACTCAATTTGTCGCATCACAAGGATGCGATAAAATCAACTCATCGCCATCAATAGGATGCGATAACAAAGTCATGGCATCATGAAGATGCGAGAATTCAAAGTCATCGCATCATAAGGATGTGATAACAGTTTTCATAAGAATCAAAAATCCCAGTTTTCACATACAGATGATTATGCCACTCTTATTCCAATCATTTGATATAAACATATCAAAATACAAAATTATGCTAAAAATAACCTAAAAACAGTTTCCAAAACTCTCCACATAAAGAACCATACAGTTCTTGTTCAATCATTGTAAGATAATTTTTTAAAAATAAAACTCACCTTGATTTCACAAAGAGATGCAGATGAACAACAGCAATTATTCAGATTAATATCCTTATTCTCTTTGGTTTCTGTTTCTGTTTCCTCTGCTCCAACAGACACATACACATAGAGTAAAATCTCTTTCTTGTTTTTCCTTCTTTCTTTTCTTTTTACATTCCCAATGAGATAAAACAAATATCTCATCTAATCAGTTATAATAAGAGGCGGTGTATGAGTTTAAAAATATTTAAGCACATAATCAAACTCGAGCTTAGTATTAATTTTTTGATTCCACCTCGACTAGCCTACCATTTAACTCGATTAACCTACCACTTGACTTGACTCAGCTTGTTTACACCCCTAGAATAGATGACATATTTACTTATATTCTAGACCCTCGTCTCGTATGGGACATATTGGATAGGCTTCCAGGCTCTGGTCTCGAATGAATATATCGAGAATAAGAATCTCATATCCCATAATTTCATGTCCACTTTATTTCCATCGTTCATGTGCTAGACATATCAACATTTATTGTAGAGAAAAAAAAAATATGAACTAAATATGTGCGTATAAAATAAAGTGTCGATATATCTTCACGTGTTTGGTAGAACTAGAAGGTAGCATTTAGTTTTGTGAGTGGATATTTTTATGGGAAATTGACTCAAATGACCGTTTCCCACACCTAAATAAGTCTCCTAACCAATTATCTCCTGAGTTCACCCAAATGTCACTATTTCCGCAATATCCAGGTCCGTAATATGTGCTAGGTCCGCAATATTAGCTAAAAGGCAAAAAATACAATTCAAATTCAACACAAATCTGCAATTGCGATGGCCAGGTCTGCAATCGCAATTGCGGCTTTTAGTTGTTAAGGGAGAGATGGGGGAACACTCGCCAGCAAGTACCTGGATAGACTAAAAGCAGGGGAAACCGTGACTTGAAGATCGTTTTCCCGTCTATTTGATCGGTAAGGCAGGCAACTCCTAGCTATGGGTGAGGAACGAGAAGGAGCCAATAATTGAGGATCAAGCAAAGGCCTTTGTTAGGAGCTAAAAGGGTTAGTCACTCTCTTATTTAGAGGGGACGAGATAGGGCTTGCTTGTCTTTCTCTCACACCTCACAGTCAGAATTTGGGCTAAAAGTCGTCCACATGCTCAATTCCTCTCCCTACGAGATAACTTGTTTGTAAAGATATCTGAAAGTAGCAATTCCTATACGAATGAGATAGGCAATTTGAAGGTGTTGATCCTCTCTCTTAGTGATTTGATGATAATCCCTTTTCTCTTTCACGTTGTATTTTTGTTTCTGTATTTTCAGTT